CAATTCATCCTGTGACAAAGCTATCTACGAGACACTGCGTGTTTACTGCGTGTGTAAACTCAAAGGCACCAGCTTGACTTAAACGACCCTTAAACCAAGCTTCGATGCAAAGTTATCGCTCTTTTCAGTCATAGCGAGGAAGCTTTAAATCTCCTATCGACAATGAATAGGGGCGTCACATATATGTGACGCTGGGTGTGAATGTATTTGCAAGAAATGCTCACGTAAACCTTATTCTACTGGAGCATTCCTAGAATATCCCCATTTCCAATCCAAGTGCAGCTACAACAACCGAGGTCACGAAAAGCCTTCCAACGGTTTCACTGTCTACCAACGGTTGTTCAAGATTAACCCACACGAATGTATCAACAAGTGTCAAGGGCCGTAAATCATACTGAAGTATTCCATCTCACAGATGCCAAAGGTCACATGCAATGAAACGGTGTCGGGTTGACCGAATCAATTGGGCTTTACATACTCCCAAGGTGTTGCCAAAACAGTAGGGATTTCCTCTCCACGCAGTCCCCACTCGTCCCATCAACAGTAAGCACCTCAGACTCCACTAAGGCAAGGCTACCCAACCTCCCACAGCAAGGCCTTTGCACTGTCCTAGGGCTCCACTCCAACAAATTGCAAAATTTCTGTCCTCACACGACATCCAGTCAATCCAATCTGATGAAGTCATGGTTTTCGGGTCCTTTCGTGTGTTCCACTCACAAAGCTCCAATGTCTCACCCACCTCCACTACAGCAAAACGACGCGAGCTCACGCCTTCATGCGCTTTCAAGGCACCACTCGACCAAACGAGTTTGTGCACCTCCACCCATGACACTCCTCGTTATGACTTGTTGCAACTTGTGCACACCTCCGAAATCCATGCCATTGTTTATGTGATTGTACGCGTCAATTGCGGATAAAAGTGTGCTCTGCACTGCTTCCCCTAATGCGATTCCAGCGTGCCTACTTCACGAAACCAGTCCAACACGGCCACAATGTCTTTCTGCGCAGCACTTCGATAAGGCACAGCGTGCGCTAGCAGAATGCACTGCTCAGAAGTGGTCCAAACAGCCAACTCGATTCTGGTGAGGCCTCACCTGCAGATGGATGGGTGCATCACGTTTAAGGAGGGTGGGGAGGACGGATCCTCCATGTCTTGACAACAGTGGAGAATGACGTGCCTCCTTGCCGGTTCTGTCGGGAACAACCTTCTCTGGTGCTTGACGTGGGCGACGGTGAAACAATCAATTCACACCTGCGTGTCAACTGAGGAGGAAAAGGCGAGGTGTAGGGCGGGCAAACAAGCAAGCGGGTCACATTCACATCCGCCAATGAATGGGGACAAGGTTCAAAGCCTGTCAACTGCCCACTTCTTATTCACCTCATTCTACGACAACTTACTATGCACTCTGGATTGCCGACTGAACTGCCACGACAAACGCCTTTCCTGTTCCAGCAACACATCATTGGTCACCTCTAAACAACTCACTTTCTGCATACCCCACACTTCTCAAGCACGCGCCACCTCGTGTGCAGACGACAATGAAGTGGTGGGTGCAGGTGTGGTGGTGATCTACAGAACCAATTATTCACTCGATGAAGGCCAAACAATTACGCCCGAGATCTGTCCACTCGACACAGCTCAAGTGGAAGTCACGCGAGGATAACCTGTTCTTCCTCTTCCTCCTCTCCCTCAGAAGCAGCGACGACTAGTCAACTAATTGGACGATGGGGAGAACATTCCGTTCTTGTAGAACAGGACAACTTGGCTGCGCGAAGATTTGCACGTCATTAAGATGGAAATAGGGAGGGAGGGAAGGAGGGATGTGGATATTGCCTCATCCTCCGTATTCCCCTGAAGCTATTTCGCCAATGCGTCTCAGTTGCCACCTCTTCCTGATATCAGCATTAGACAGCCACATGGTTGTACGCTGCATGGA